TTTCAAACTTGCTTTCACTGGGCAAGATGACAAGTAATTTTTAACCATCTGCCTTTCTTCTTTAAACGATCAATCCAATCATTAATTGAATTTATAGGAACTCATTTATCTAAATAAACTGTGTACATATTATTATTATATGATACTGCAAAGGGATTTCTAAGATATACAATAAATTGTACAGTCATTTGTTGAACAAGTTTGACTGAGACAACTATTTTTCGTCACAAGTGACCTAAATAGTGACGTCATTTTCACATTGTGACGTCACAAACAAGGAGAAAAACTTTATTCAGCATCTGCTATTTAGAGATCTTTTGTATGGCTATGTGTGTACCGAATTTCATTCTAATCTGAATTGTGGTTTTTTAGATATAGAGATAGTTCACAAACTTTTTGATCACCCCTCGTAAATATTGATATATCGATATACATGTAAATATATGAATATTTGCGAGAAAGAAGTCAGGTTATAGTTTTTTTAATGAACTTTGCGGAGTCGGAATTTCTACATGTGATGAATCTTCACTCACTAGCGATTCCGTGAAAGCTTATGTACCAAGTTTTTGCTATCGTGTACAATTATAAGCTGAAACAAATTCACTGACTAGCGATTCAGTGAAAGCTTATGTACCATGTTTTTGCTATCATGTAAAATTATAGATCGAAACAAATTCGAAAATATTTTTGTAAAAGAGAGATGGAGAGACACCAATAATTAGATTCATAGGAGGCTATTGTATCCATCACCACTTTTAAAGAGGATTTTCATTTCATCTTGGAAGTGACTGGGGGATATTAACAACACAGACAAAAAATAACGAATGACTTACTGAGTATTAAGTAGGTGAATGACTCAGTCTACACAGTGACAGGATAAAATAATGTTAAAATGATGATCTGATTTAATATCGTACTTTTAGAGGGCTGGATGGTTGTGAACATTTTCATACATTGTAGTCTCCTTTAAACGTAGCGTTTCATATATAAATACATGTATACAACAATGATAAATTTGTTTTCTTTGTCAGCTTAAGATATGTTGTATAAAATTTTTGGTTATATCTTATGGGTAATTTCTTGACCCTCCGCCCCCAGCTCCCCAGGCTCCTTAAGCACATTTTTGTTTATGAAAACCATGTTACACGATAAGTCCTTATAAATAATATCGATATATAATTCAATAGTTTTAATATTTAAAATATCTAGCATAAACCATGCTTAAAGGTTCAATGCAACAGTACTCACCACCAGTTAAGCTTCACTGAACCCTGAAAATAGGTTGAGATAAGATGCCATCGCGAAGTAATATGCTTTTGAAAGTAATTTCAATTTCAATTTATAATATTGCACGTAAAATTAAAGTAAATGTCACAGTAAACCTCAGCATCTCCATATGCTATATGATTTTCAGGGAAAGTTTGTTTTTTATTGTACCTTGCCCGGGAACATATAAGTGTGAATTTTGTTTTAGGATTCCGAAGCTCTCAGTCATCAAGGTTTAAAGCATTAATAAGTAGTAGTGTGACACATTAATAAGTAGTAGTGTAACAATATCGTTTTCATGACTATTTTGACATTTCGAGTGACTCTATTTCATTCTCTTTCACTTTGCCTTAATGAATGATGATAAATCAATCTTAGGAAATATCTTAAGGACAGATGTTACAAACAAAAAATTGATGCCTGGATCGGTATATATTTTTTGGTCTAATTTCATTGCAAATGATGCAAATAATAAATTTCTAGAATATAAAAAAATTATAAACCTTTTATTAAGTTCAAAACCTCTCGGAAACCATCCTTATAAATCTATAAAAATATCTTTTCACTTCAAATCCCATTCCTTTGAAATTTTGAATAAAAATTAGAAACTACGTGGTGAAACTTTTACTCACTAAACCATGATCCAAGTTGCTATTTTCAATTTTTTTGACATAATTTTGTTTGTATCATCTGTCCATAAGTTCAATTTAGCTTACTAATATGAGCAAGTTTAGTCAAATACCTTTTATTGAGATTTAACAATTAAAGGTTGAATCTATTTATCAAAGTGAAATAAGTATTTGTGGTCTGGCTTGGTCGAAAATGCATCGGGTTCATTGGGCAATTTCTACGATATTTATCAGTTCCATTTATAGTTTGGGTATATTAGTAGCACCTTGCAAGGGAACTCTGACGTAACGGAACTTATTCGTCATCAGTCTGTGCTGAAACTTTTGCCAAATAAAATACTGATCACTCAGTACTATTGTTATTATGTTGTTTGACACAATAATTCAACCAGTAATCCCTGCTTTAGGGTTACTTCATCTTTGATAATTTCTTTATTCACAGTTTTACGGGAATTTAATTTAATTTTCAGTGACAAAAGATCTGTCAAGATTGATAAGAATGATTACAGATAGTAGAAATAAGAACGTTGTAGAATGTTAACTATTATTTTATTTTGCATTATTTTCAACGAATACAGTCCTATGGTTCAAAAATTGAGCGAAATACTAATAACCTCTGTCATTTCGCTATCAATTAGAGAAGGAATCCCAAATCAAATTTAAAAAAAAACATGTTAATTGGGCACATATGAATCATTATTTAGATACAAATAGCACTAACTATTTTGAAAATGAATTTAAGAATAATATTTTTAAAAAAGATATCGATTTTAAAATAATGTAGAATAAAAATTAAATTATTTCCACAATACTGCCTAGTACATACTTGGAAAAATACCCCCATCCCAAACACACATAAGAACTAAATAAAACATATATTTGCAATAGAATCTGAAAAAAGTATCAGTAATAACAGGTTTTGAGTACTAGTATTTCAGTAAAATAAATAATATATATAAAATAAGGTAAATATACACATGCAGTGTTTATTCAAGATCGACATTGGAAATTCTGCTAGGTCACATATGACCACACATACAATGTTTTGACTCGAAGTACACGTATAATGTTAGAGACATGGTTATCAGTAGAACTATTAAGGCATGAACTAATTGATATTTAAAATTTCATTTGTAATTATCGTGAAGTGTAAAAAATCAAATTCTTGTGTCCAGCGAGGTCTAGAAAATAATTGATTGTGCAAGCCAAACAATGGGCCCTATTTAGAGTGAATTAAGAGCATTAGAAACTAAAACGGTACATACTTTTGAGGTTAAGAAAATTATTTGATTTTAAAAAATTATACTTAAATTATCGTACTGACAAGTATGATCTTGCTGTGGCGCTAATATTTCAACAATGACGGAACTATGGCGCTGACATTTTAACTGTGGCGCTAAGGAATTTAACTGCGAAGGGGCCGCCACAAATATGTATCAAGGTATCTATTTTTTGTTTGTATCGTCTGCCATTATCTATAGTTTTATCGGCAACTGCAACAAGCACAATATGCTATTAACTGGTGTCTTTTATCTTGACCCTAGAACTCTTTGTTAAACGAGTAAATTGCTAAAGCCTTATACAGTTACGAATTAAATAAAGGTACCAGTACTGAACAGGTGTAGAATCTTATCCCTCAATCGATAAAATTACTGTCATGAAATAGAGTACATGTATTCATGTAATTTAATTGTATTCTAAAAGTATATTTTTATCTTGTAAATGAGATATTTTTTTTAATTAAAAATGCAATTGTATACATAAGAATAGAAACAATTTAAAAATGTTCCATATAAAGCATAAAATGAAATATTCAATTAAGCTTGTTTATTTCTTTATTCAACTGATATTTAATATATTCCTGTTTCAATTATTGTCCATAATACAAACACACTACATGTAACAATACAAAAAAAAAAATATTAACAGAAAACTGGGGAAGCAATGTCTCATATAAATAAACCTTTTTTGTGACAAACATCATATAATATTACACACAGTGCATATCTACTTAAACATTATTAGGTATAAACTCCACATGTACATTGAATATTAACAGGCAGTATTTTTTTTAACCAAAATCGGAAACACCTTCAATATAACATCATAACACGGAAGGATAATATCGATGTACTACGTCAAGGATGTCATGTAGCCCTGAAATTCATTTATTTGTTCATCTAGCTAAAATGAAATTGAAATGGATTTGCATTGTTTACTTTTCTCTTCTTTTACACCGGAATGTTTATGGTAAGATCTAACATATATCCACCGTATTATTAAATTTTTGCAGTGAATCATAACGCTATGTGTGTTTTCTATATATTGTTAATGTGTAACATTAGATTCATACTTGATATTATTTTAAAGCTACATGTAACAAGAAGGTGATGAAATACGATTTTAAAAGTCTCGTCATCATTTGCATATTCTATTATCAATACAATGAGCTTAATTTTAGTGAGGAAAAATATCATTAAGTCAAATTATGACTGACGTTTTTCATACTTATTGTTACAGTGTAAGCCACTATTTACAAGCATACATGTAGCTGTGAACATATTTTTCTGTTATTTTCTGATCATGGCAAGGAGCACACAGTTGGTGTGACCGGTCGAAAATGCTCTCCTCCATGGCACTTGATCCCAATTCTCTGATTCTCTATAAGAAGTCCGTATTTTTCCTGACCCTGAATTGCATTGCCCGATAAAATTCCGTTCGTTATCTTCATATTCATTCCACAAAAAAAATATTTGAGTATATGATAGGAATTAATTTCTTTTCAGGACAAAATCCAGCCTGTACCAAAGACGGTTAGTAAAATGAAGCAGTATTATCTAAATGTGCTACTAAGAATGTGCTTGCATAATTGTATATAAAGAAAGTGTACTATGTTATGTTTTCCTGTATGGGTAATTGCTAAAAATTGCAAATTGAAGTTAAACTTGAAATACATGTATGAGTAGGTTATAATTTATATATGGCATTTCAAAATAACAGATATTTCTTTTCTTTTTCAAAGACTTCTGTATACCTTGCATATAGTAAGAATATTGATTTTAAATATATTTTTAAGTCCCGATTGTATACAGCCGGAATACAAAACTGGGATTTAATGTAGATGTACATAGTATTTGTCTGTTCATTTTCTTTCTTTATTAAGCTAAAACATTGGACGTTTGTGATGGGAGTGAAGTTTCAGATACCAATATTTATATTGACTTTGGAGAAATTGAATATCAATGCAGCTGCTCAATTTCGCCTAATTTTAGTGGACAATCGTTTTATGTTTTGGCCAAGAGCCCAGGCTATGTGAACTGTGGGACAGCAGTAAACGTTATAGACAGTGAAAATGATAGGTACAAACTGCCGTGTGCTACATCTCACAATACTGTGGTTCTTACAAACCGCTCTAGTTTGGTTGAATTAGGACGAGACGGTATTGCCGATAGACCCACAGAATACTGCCTACGTGTGTTTACAAACGGTATGTTAAGTTTTCATTCATAATTCTCTGTTCACTCAAATCACATTTTTCTTTAATGCCTTTTTTTTTACAAAAGAAATGTCATGTATAATAGCAATTTATGTAAACAATCTATGCATACATGTAGCTTGTAAGGGCAAATTGTTTAAAAAGGTCATTCCAAAAAGAAGCAATAGAGTTTCATACAACTGGATGTTATCACTCTTATAAGGGTATTTATTACTCTTAATAAGGATCGTTTAGTCATGTTTCAGAAGTCAGACATGACATTTCATAACCTGTAATATGTTCAATCAAAAATCGTTCTAAATGGATGAAATAACCAAGTTTTAACGCAAAATCTATTTAAAGAATTAATATCTAATTTTTAGAAGAAGTTTTACGGGAGCAAAAGTCAATGCATGGTGATGCAGAGGAAATTCAGACTGTTTTTAACTTTTTATTTTTGTCAAAACCAATTATTTCTTGCAATATCAATTTTAATGTAAAAGTTAAATGTATTTATAACCAATATTTTGAAAATATTATGTTTATTGAAGCTCATGAATCATTTCATATAATTGAATGCTTTGAAATAAATAAATCCAAAAATATGAACAAAACCATTTCATACAATATATCTAGTCTGAATAATTTGATCATTAACCTCAAATAAAATTAAAATGGGCGACAAAAGTAATGTGGGGTTATAAATGATTTAGAGTTCTTATCATTCAGATTTTTATACGATTCGATTGCTTGTAATATTTTGTGTGCTAAGGAAAAACTGGTCATAGTATAAAAAAATGAGGTATTTTCCCTGAAATACTCAGGGGTCACTAGCATGAAAAGAAGGCTGTTGACCTACTTATTTAAAAAAAACAAACAAACTCTAACACTTTTTCAAGAAGCAATGTCTTTTGCTTAACTACAGTGTAAGTATGTAATTAATTTATAATTACATGTAATACCAAGGAGCAGAAAAATTTATCAAAGAAATACCCGGTAATACAGATTTACTATACATGTTTACTCTATATAGCCCCGCCCCAGCATTAGAAGCTCTAACCCTGGGGCAATGAATTTTTCAATTGTGGTAGAGGACTCAGTGTTTATTACATTTCTACCAACAGTTTGACTGCTTGGTGTTCATGGGCCAGAAGTAAAGAAGATTGCATTCATTTTATTGTATTTTGATCTGTCTCTCAGGTCCTTAAATGGAGGGGGGGGGGGGGGTCAGGAACAATGAAATTCCAAAGTTTTGTTTCCCTTCATCCGTAGATATCTTTAGTAAAAATTGGTTGAGATTTGTTAGGCGGTTGCATGGAAAATGCTGAAAATGCTTAAATGTTAACACAATGCACGACGCACACTGCGCCGCGCACGACGACGGACAAAAGCAGATAGCAATAGGTCACATGAATTTCGTCAGATGACCTTTCAAGGTTGTGAACAGAAAAAAAGCCCTTCCTATTAATAAGACTACGGTTATAAATTTAGACTTAAATGACATATAACTCAATTTTTCCACTTTTTTCAACATGTCGTTTTTATGTAATTTATTTAATCCTATTGAAATTTTAAAGATGAATTCATTTTAAATTTTAAATATACCAGGTAGTAGAAACATCATATTAAGTTCCTGAATACATGTATAAAGTGTAATTAAATTTTATAGATAATTATCATTTTGTTCACTAATTTTTGCCTGCTTTTTTCATTTTATATCTAGTTAAAAGCAAAGAAAATGCAAAAATGAAAAACAAAACTTACAGCAATGTATAAATTCTTGTTCATATACATATAGTATATTGAATTTATTCAAGGATTGAATTTATTATCAGATATATCAAATATTATAACTGCAACCTGCGGAAGTCTCATGTCCACGGAAATGATTATACAGAAAAATACATCAGTAGGTTTGTGTTAATTATTCACATGCTATACTATACGACACGATACGATACGATGCTATGCTATACTATACTATACTATACTATACTATACTATACTATACTATACTATACTATACTATACTATACTATACTATACTATACTATACTATACTATACTATACTATACTATACTATACTATACTATACTATACTATACTATACTATACTATACTATACTATACTAGTAGTAGATTTCCACACATTGGGATTAAATTCTGCAGTGCAAATGTTTGTAGAAAACTATATTCGTCATTGTTATCTACAGAAAAATCTCTGCATTAATTAATTAAGTTGAATGTTAATAATAACATGCTGTCTTGTGAGAGGACGTTGATATCAGCGGTAGACATTTTATTTTATATTCAATTGCATGAGTGAAATGATAAAAATGTGGATTCTTTTTCATATTTTTTTTTTATTCCCAGGATCCATTTGCAATTGTAATTGCATTTAACAGCCAAGTTTGCGATTATTAACTTTCTTTGAAATTTCTAAATCAGATGATTCAAACGATGTGATATACATGTATATTTTACAAAAGACTAATGGGTCATTTACAATGTTTATAGGTTTGACAAAAACTATAGCTGACGATACAACTCCGTCTACACCAGAAGATGCGGAGCAAACTACTTTTAAAAATATAGGGAAAACCCGGACTAGCACTGGCAGCTTAGAAGCTGATACATCTCAAACAGTAGTTGTCATGGTGAAGAACGAAAAAAATACTTTTCCAAAATGTAAGCTTCTTTTTCAAAGTCTATGATATATGTATAATTTGATATATATAACTATTTATTTGAACATCATTATTTTAAAGAATTAAAACTCTAATACAAAATTTGAAAAATACACTGCGTGAGGTAGGAATTCCATTTTTTTAATTTAAAAAATCGGCAGAAAGAGTCTATGAAAGCTGTTTATGGACAAGGTGTCATATTTTTATATTGAAATTGTGAACAAAATTTATAGTTTGAAATCGAATTAAGAAGGTAAGGTTTTATCTCTATTGTGCCCTAAAAATTAACATTTTCAAAACTTTTTGAAACTAGATTAAATGTTAGATATTAGTTAAATAAATGATTGTAATAAATCAGAAAAGAATATGGCATAAAGATTTAAAGTTTACATTTGTAATTTGAGTAGCTTTTACTTACATTTAAAAGACATTTAAAGATGTGACACAGAAACCTGAAGATAATAACACAACAATACATACATGTAAAAGGTTGTTTGTTCTTAGTGCATACATGTACATAGGTGGCTCCGCACTTAAATATTTCTGACAATTAACATTATTGCTAAATGTGTTTGCTTAATATGTTTGTTTCTGTTCAAATCGCATGAATTGCCAAAAAAAAAGTGAAATATTCAGAAATGAACTCCTTTTTTTTTCAATTTAGGGGAAATTATAGGCGCAGCAGTTGGGGTCAGTCTTATGGTATTTTTAATAATAATATTATTGATGATGAGGAATCGAAAAAGGTACACAATAGTACTTTATTTTGTACATTATAATTCTTTAAAACTTGACAATTTTGAAATATTCAGAATAAATGGCACTGTTATATGGACGTAACTTAAAAAAGATTTCATATGCAGTGCCTTGAAAAAAGGTTATATCTCTTTACTAATGAGTAAGCTTTTTTAGAGTTTAAGTATTACATTTATGAAAAACCGTTATTGAAAATATCAACATTTTCAATTATTTCATTTTTTTTTCTTTTTTTACATTAAGAAATGTCAAGAGTAATATTCCTTACATGAGAGAATCAGTAGGAATACAGAATCAAGTACTAGAAAAGAGGGATAAAAACGTACGCGAACTAACAGAAAACCCCCTATACCAACCGGCTTACGACTTTGAGAAGTCCCAATCTTCAAAAACAGTGACCTCAGAGGGAAAGAAAACTCAAAATCAAGTGAAAGATATGCCATTAGATGAGGTTGAATATGGATTAAGAGAAAACCCGTTATATCAGTCAGCTGATGATGAAATTAATGAAACAGAAAAATACACAACAATTGAATCACACGCAAATTATTCATTTTATTCCGAAATTGATGGAAACTCGGAGAAAACGCGAGCAAACATTGTTACCTATGATTATGCTGATACATATTCCTTAGCCAAATCTACCGATGATTAAGATGTCCCTAAATACATGTGTATATGGTAGATTTATGCAGTTTTTTTTTATTTCCGGACAATTTACAATGATCAAATAAAAAAATCAATCAATGCAATCACAGCACATGCATATTTTACACAGAAGGCATCTGATATCGATGTTGCAGATAATGTTATTTGTTTTAAGCCTTTCATGATCAATGTATTCAAAGGCAAGTGTAATAATTCTGCATGGAATGAGTGAAAAAAAATTACCGAAAATACCCATAGGATGATATAAAATATAATTGATTGATTTATGTTGTACATTATGTATGGTGATTTCGGAAAAAGGGGCTTCCAAAAATCTGTCAAAATTTCAATAAAAACCTTTTGCACTTCGTTTTACCTTTTTATGCTAATGTGTAGCAAACTCTTTGAACCAAAAGTAATGATACATTAGACGAAAACACAAGTTTTAATGTAACTCAACATTTAGATGTAGCGACGATATAATATCAAAAAGCGATACACTCCTCAATTCCTTTGATGTCTTTATTATCCGATTAAACTTTAAATATAAGATTCTAAAGAGTTAAGCTCATTATTTCATATTTCGATCTTAGAGAAATACTTCAATGGTAACTTAAATCAACTCTATGTTCCTTAGTTCTCCTGCCAGACAACTGAGCTTGTTTTTTGGTTAAAGCAGGCAAAAACAAACAACACATTATTGAAGTGAAAAAATGTCATTTATTGAAGTAAATGACTTAAAATTAGTAAAAACATATTTACAATACAAGAAAGGGGGTCAGAAAAGGAGACTTAAATATGAAATATTACATATCTTTTTCACAATATTGCACAATCTGGCCCCCAGCACCATAATGTCATTGTAAATTTTATACATAGAAAAAGGGGGATCAACCAGTGGACTAATTGTGAAAACAAAACATTGAAAAAACATTGGCATGTATGGTATACATGAATCTTAGTTGACCCCTACTAAACATAAAAAATTCTAAATAAGCATGAAAATAAATGTGCTACGTTGCTGCCTGCTATCAAAAAAGGTGGGTAAAAGAAAACAAAATAAGATAAATGCAAATAAAATTCAGTTTCCCCCTATTTATAACAAATCAATTCTTCGTTTAAATATCGGAAAATCAAAAGAAAAACAAATAATATATATTCATTCACATACACGGAGATAATAGTATTTTAATAATCCAGTAGAGGATATATGATGATATCAATCAACCTTCATGAATTGATTTGTTATAAATAGGGGGAAACTGAATTTTATTTGCATTTATCTTAAGGACATTGCATATTTCATTAAGTATGACAGATGATAACGACAGTTTTCGTACATGTAACCATTTAGTATTGAGTCCCATTTTCCTCCTAACTTTACAAACCTACTCTATACGCCTGTATGCTTGAAACCAACCTTAATAGAAGCCCTTGATAAACAAAAATTGATGTTTTTAAGTGTTTAACACTTTGGGTTATAACAATTTCTGACATTTCAATTTAAAAAAAGAAACTTCCCGAAAAAAGTTGATAGCAATAAGCACAACGAATTTATTTTTGGAAAATATAACTAAAAAAGGCAAAAAGGAAATATGTTCAAATGCATTTATTTTGAAAGTGTTGCATTTTTATTCTGACTGAATTTTTTTTTCTAAAAACGGAATTGAATATGGTTTTATAGAATAACTGTACGTATGCTGAGATTTGCAGATGCACGGTGTACCATGCATCCGTATTCCTGCTTGATTGATAGTTAGAGTAGTTTACTGTCATTTGCATCAATTTTAAATTGTAATTAAACAAAATCATCACATAACATATCCCTATCAACATTTATCCTATATTGAAATCATTTCAAAATGCATTTAAAAACATAGTTTTATTTCCGATAAAACAATCATGGATCCAAGACTGAGAAATACATCTTTTCTTATTGAAGAAAAAGTATTTTCGTGAAAGGCAAGTCAAATGAAAACTTCCATATCCTCTCAAGAAAAATAAAAAAAAAAATGTGTGAATGCGGTCAAACAATTTTTTTTAAACTATCAAATTCTCATTTATATTAATATGATATATATTTATATAATATGCACAGTGGTTAGAGCATCTGACCTAAAGTGACGGCGCAAGGAGTTTATCCTCACTTCACAAGTTCGAATCCACTACTGGAAGGAGACTTGTCCTTCGGATAATATCATATAAACCTAAGTTCAATCGGTGTTGCAGATGGTGTAGGCAAAATTTTCACTATTCAATTACCCTGAGTTTCGAGTATAGGTATAAATTTGTGGTTCTCTACTAGAGGTGGAGAAATTTGAAGTTCTCTTTTAGAGTTGGATTCTCCATATAAGTGAAATCATTCTTGAGAGGGACGTTAAACAATAATAAAAACAAACAAAACCTGTAGATGTTAAATTTCTCAATTTTATTTAATGTAGTCCAAGAGTATCAATTAATTATCACGAGGTAAAACAAGGAAATGTAAAAAGTAGCTTAAATACTTTCATTTTGTAAAAATAAGGAGGAAATGCTACATATCGTATATGTTTCTGTATATTACATAATTTCCTACAAAATCTTATTCTTGATCAACAGGCAGAGTAAACGATCTTATTAATTCTATAGTTTCTTAGAAATGTGTTGTAATAGATTTTTGGGAAAACAAAGCCCTTCATAAATATTTCTCTAACACATGTATGTATTTGATTTCATCTGTCAATCATATAATTATAATATTGAAAGAAATGATATCCCTGCCTGCCTAATGTTGATTAAACTCTTAACAGGTGTCAGATTAAAATATAAAATAGAAGGTACACATTGTCAATACGAAAAAAAAAGAATCTGGGAAAGTATCATTTCATTTTATGCATGGAAGGAGACTTTGAAAAGAGATACATATAGGTATCCTTCAATAATTTAGAATAACGGCGGTGTAACTGTTTTCCTACACAAAACCTAAAACAAATTTCCAATCGAAAAGTAAAATAGGAGGTGCACAATGATATTCCCTGTCTATAACAAGAAATCTGCAAAAGTCTCATTTAATTTTCTTCAGTGGTATAAGACGTGTTGTGGATAAGGAATGGGGATCCCAAAGCGTAACAGACGGAGGAATGTACAGATGGATGGACAAACGGGCGGTCAGAAGGACAGGCGTACAGACGGACATACATCCTGACCACTTTATAACCTTCGCTTTTCATTCGAAAAATACTATTTATTAATAAGAAGTAATTTTTAAATCCGATATCTTCAATCTAATGGAGTAGCTCGCGAAGCGCAGTGGTTAGAGCGTTTGCTCTAGAGTCGCGAAGTAAGGAGTTGATTCTTATTTCGTGGGTTTGAATCCAACGGGACGTGGAGACCAGCCCTTCAGATAAGACCGTATAAACCGAGGTCCCGTGTCGCAGTAGATGATGGTACGAAAAGATCCCTCCCTACTCAATGACCCTTAGTGCCGCGTATAGGACTATATTTGCGACTCTCCATCGACAAATTGTGGCTTCTCCATACGAGTGAAAAATTCTCGAGAGGGACATTAAACAATAAACAAGCAACCAAGCACGTGGGAACAAAAATACCCGGTTTAAAATTTAAATCATGTCAGTAATGAATATGGTATGAATGTTTGAATTAAATTTTTGGAGATAAAGAAAAAAATTCAAGCTAAAAAGTCATTAAAGCACACACACACACAAAAAATTATTACTTTAAACAAGACTGCTGATATCTTTGTTTCATCAACTCACTCCGTTTGAAAAATTGCTCGTACGCAGAGCATTCTCTTCTGTATTTCATCAACTGAGAGATATAAACGTTCTGTGCAGGTGATGAAGGTATGTTGCTACATAATTAAGGGAAGTTGATTTTTAAAATATTACAATCATCTGGTGTGTCATAAAGGATTGTTGTTAGATAACACTTAACGTCTCTTTCAAGTAAAACATCTAAATATGAAACAGATGTGTCTGTGGTATGTTCTATTAAAGCTCATCGGAATATATCGTATCAACACAAGAATAAAAATAACCATCGTTAATTGACACTACGCACTCAATATATCCAAATGTTTGGCTGAAAGCCAAAGAAAGCGTTTATCTCTTTTCATGTTTAAGATTTTGGAAAATCTTGATATTATATAGATACGAAAAAAGGTTTGGTAATAAGAGGATGCAATTGGTAAAACATTATTTCTTTTACCTTTAAAGTAAAATTTTTAAAAGTTTCAAAGGGACAGAGTATAGTGAAGCACAAAATTTGAATTAGACCTGACTATTGATTTACATAAGATCGTAATGAATCAAAAGAAACATCGTGCATTTCAAGTAATGCCCATGACTACGCTTTAATTCATATCTCTGTATTTAAACAATTATAATATACATCGTTACACTGTGGACTGGAAAGATTTCCAACACTGTCCACATTATCATTACTTCCATATGGAGAGATTGTCCCTAGTTTTTTTATACCCCCTGCTTGAAAAGGGGGAGGGTATATAGTAATCGGAATTTCCGTCCGTCCGTCTGTTACGCTTTATCTCTTATCCGAAACTCCTCTTATATTACTGAGTGAAATTCAATGAAACTTTCACAGAATCTTTATTACATATTGCCATTGTGCACCTCCTATCTTACTTTTTTATTCAATACGTA